CCTGCCGCGGCATCGCCGCGGCGCGCCTGTAACTTGTTATTCTAAAGACGCAACGCTCTTAGCGATAGGCTTGGTTCCCATTCCAGCCATCATTAGATATGCTTGACAACAAAAAGTTTCCCACTCGAAAATTATTTTCGATATTAAAAAAAAAAAAAAGGGTCGCATATTTTAACCGTTCTTGGAGTAACAACCACATACTGTCTATCAAATGCAGAATCTGCCTCGGTAAAAAACTCATCCGATCTTTCACTTGGCCTTACCCCGCAGCAATAGAACTCCAAGAATTTGGTCGACCCGTAAACTCAGGTATTACAGAAGACCGACAATGTAATTCCTTAACTTCCCAAAATAGGGCCAACAAGACAATGCGAATACCAACAGCAACCTCATTCCTAAAAAACGCAGCCCGCAACCTATGAAGAATTTTGATAAGTAAGATGCACTTACATATATGAAACACCTAACCTCCTACGTACATACACCCAGACAGATCATGTATGCGAAATTCCAGTCCAAACCGCATACTGATTATGTGACAAACTGAACTAATTTACCCGCATAAGCATTGAACGATAAGATACAGTACGACGATTAGTAATTTTACCGTTTGCCTCCGTATCCAATCGTTTTCTATCGTACCCACCTTGTAATCACTCTACAAAGAATTACTACTCCAAAATTTCCCTGATAACTATGCGGTTGGCCGAAATTGCATAAGACAATTATACTGCGCACATAACGCATGCATGGTTCCTTGATAACCCGCCCTTTCAGGAAATCTCGCTCGCAACATAGGACACATGTATATATACTTAATTTTATTTAAAAAACCACTAAGATCCGATGTAAGCAAATAGGTAGCGCTAACAACCTGATGCTAATTAAAGTACTTTAAGAACATAAAGGACCAACTATCGCATCCTGATTCCTAAATCGCTACCCTGTAGATATAAAATCATAAAATGTAAGTATTCCAAGATATTTTCGAAATAAATAAAGGCAGAACAACGAAAAAATAACACCCCATACAACATCGAAACCAACGCACAGAAAAATCTTGCCCATTTTCATAAGACCGTTTGCTCCACTACTTCCTCGTCGTCCTCTTCTTCTTCCCTCGCTACTTCGTCCGCCTCCGACGACAAATGTTGCCCTTGATAAATCTTGCCATAACTGGTACTAAGCTCTGATGAATAAACCATTAAGTTTTCACACATACATTAAGAATAAAAATAATAATAACTAAAAATTTTAAAAAATAATAATAAAAATAATA